GAAAAAAGCATTATTTACTCGTTTTGGGTAGATTTAAGTTAGGTAGAACTATCAGAAAGGTGTTTTTCACAACACTCACACAATAGTTTGGTGCTAAAATCTTACGAAAGCGCTATTTTTTCGTAGTCAAAATGACACTCAATGTTGCCTGTCAGAAGCTTGGAAGAGCGCCATCTTCCGGTAGGGGAACTTGTATAGTACCCCTAGGTCCGTGGTAACAGCCGCCATTAGAAATTTTCGTGATAGAGTGAAAAAGTATCTCATAAGCTCCCATAATTTTGGCGGAAACCACCTGAAATATGCCAAGGATTTGTTTGTAATCGATATATTGGAGGCTCTACACCTTGACTCCCCTGTTAAGTGCAGCCAAAAAAATACACGGGGGCGGAGGGCGGATTCGCCCCGGAAACACATACATTTTCGCAGTTGTTTTGGTTGATCAATATTAGCTGAACCTAGACCCCTAAACATCGCTAACTGAACTACAATCAATTTCCATCACGAATTCACGATTGCCGCAATTTTATAAAGTTTCCATAAATAGAGGTATGAAATTAAAGCCTATTTTGTTATTATTCTCGCCATGTTTTCGTAATTTTAATAGTTATTTCTTCAAAGTAAAGAAAATCAGACAAAATCACCATGACTGACACGCATACAATACAGTGCATTGCCGCTGTGCGGTGTGTGTGAGTTGAGCTGAGCTGAGCTGAGCTAGCTCGCTAGTAGGGTAGAGTGCCCAGTATTCAGTCACTTAAGGGGAAATCACTAATATTTTGAATTCTTACCTCTTTTATTTGGCAATCTACCCATCAAAAGAAAAGAAATTTATTCCTCTAACAGGATTTTATAGTCACTTAAAATATAGAATAATGATAAGCAAAATACTTCCGAAAGAAGACGGAGCATTTTTCTGCCCAGAATTCGGTCGCGCCGATTAGAATTCGGTCACGCGATTTGTGCGTGGTATCTCCGTTGCCAAAGAGCGGAAGCGTATTTGCGCACTATTTTCACACAATTGTGCGATAAAGCACTGAATGTCAATGCGTTGACCGAATACCGGCCGAGCGATACCGCATGGCAAGGGTATCGTATAAATACCTCTCGCACATCGGCAAATGCGTCATTTGCAAATTCACTGCGATGGAGTGAACACGGAAGTGATTCTCTTCACACACATACTAAATTCATTGCGACAGCACACGCAGTTGTTTCGCAATAGACTTCTACATATGGCTATGCGCGTTAGCGCATGTGCTAAGAGAACGCAGAAGTGCAGAAAGTCTTGCGACACTGACCAATTTTGAGCTAAGTTGGAGATCTTTCCGGGGCCCTAAATCTGATTTAATTTTGAGAGTTAAGAAAAGTTGTTCAGCTGCTTGATTTGTGCAAGTTACGTGGCTCGCAAATTATTTTAAAAATTGTTACAGCTGTCGAAACGGCTGTCTGACCGAATACTGGGAATTGACCAAATACTGGGCGCGCTACCCTAACTCCGGGAAGCTCCAACACCGGCGGCGCCCCTGCGGCCCCAGTGTTGCAGTTTCCCGGATTTAGCTCGCTAGCTGAGCTCGAGTCGTAGAGATTTGACAGTTTGAAATTGTTATCTTTTGGTTTACATCAGTATTGCCGCGATTTCAATATAGTTTCGCGAATAGATGTACAAAACCTGAGCTTAGAATTAGTAAAATTATTACTAATGTCTACGTTTTTAAACGACTGTCTGATTTTCTTGTGAAAATTTAATTTTGAAAAATGATGATCGAAATTCATGGCCAGAAATAATCACAATCTGGGGTCTATTATGTTACAGTTCTTGCATCAAATCAATGCATGAAAACTTAGTTATTGAACTAGAAAAAGGGGTTTCTTTTTTAATAGGCAATTATGAAGCAGGAAGCCCGAAACCTTAGCCTACTAAACAAATCTCAACAAACTGTAGGCCTATCCTTTTATGAATTAATGAAAAACTAGCCCCAGAAAAAAGAGCCCCCAAAATGGAAAAAGAGCCCCCAAAAGTTGAAAAAGTAGCCCCTGAAAATTTCCCAAAAATTTGAAATGGAGCCCCCGAAATGAAAAACTTATTTTTTTGCCTGGTTAAGTGACTGTAAAAATCTAGGTAACCTGAAATCTGTCTCTGAATTCGAAAATTTTTGAGAGTTTTGCAGACGGCAACCTGCCCTAACTTTCTGTACTAACGATATAGGCTAGTAGTAGTATCAAATGCATGCAAGTTACCCGCCTCAGCTAGGCTCATATTTTGCGTTCGAGTCGTTGAAGTAATTTTTGTCCGAAGCTTGGCAACGTCCAAAGTTTGGCGGTCTTACTCTACTTTCTAAATTCTCGACTTCTCTGTCGGACATTGACACCTTTTTTTCTTTGGTAATACCAATAACATACATAAAATGAGCTGTAAGAGGTATGGTGGTATGACCATAGCTAACGTGTGACCTAAGTTCGCTATCTCAAAAAATCTGTAAGGTTTCGAAAATCTGATATCACTAATGGAAAGAGGAGCATACATGTGTGGTGTCTGACCGTGCACTCTGTTTTATGTGCTAAAACCCTTCATATAGAAATTGCATGCATCCCTATGCAGTCTATGTGCATTGCGTGCTCATGCAAAATTGGTCTATGTTTTTATGCCTCCGCCACCGAAGGTGGTGCCGGAGGCATCATGTTTTCGGGTTGTCCGTCCGTACGTCCGTCCGTACGTCCGTCCCGTTTGACCGTTATCACAATATCTCAAGAACCATTTAAGATTTAAACTTAAGACTCGGGAATAGTATTTATCACCATAGGAAGACGATCTGATTAGATTTTGGAGTACGTAGGTCAAAGGTCACAGGTCACAGAGGTCAACTTATGAAATTCCTTGTATTGAGTTTGTTAGCGCGATATCTCAAGAACCATTTGAGATTTAAACTTCAAACTTAAGGATAGTATGTATCACCATAGGAAGACGATCTGATTAGATTTTGGAGCACGTATGTCAAAGGTCAAGGGTCACAGAGGTCAACTTATGAAATTCCATACATTGAGATTGTTATCATGATATCTCAAGAACCATTGGAGATTTAAACTTCAAACTTAGTGATAGTGTGTATCACTATAGGAAAACAATCTGAGTACATTTTGGAGCACGTAGGTCAAAGGTCAAGGGTCATAGAGGTCAACTTATGAAATTCCATACATTGAGATTGTTATCATAATATCTCAAGAACCACTGGAGATTTAAACTTCAAACTTAATAATAGTGTGTATCACCATAGGAAGACAATCTGATTAGATTTTGGAGCACGTAGGTCAAAGGTCAAGGGTCACAGAGGTCAACTTATGAAATTCCATACATTGAGATCGTTATCGCGATATCTCAAGAACCACTGGAGAATTTTCACTTCAAACTTAATGATAGTATGTATCACCATATCATAATATCTCAAGAACCACTGGAGATTTAAACTTCAAACTTAATGATAGTGTGTATCACCATAGGAAGACAATCTGATTAGATTTTGGAGCACGTAGGTCAAAGGTCAAGGGTCACAGAGGTCAACTTATGAAATTCCATACATTGAGATTGTTATCATGATATCTCAAGAACCACTGGAGATTTAAACTCCAAACTTGTTTAAATTGCTCTATGGCGGAGGCATCATTTTCGACTGCGCGCAGTCAAAATTCCATCTAGTTATTACTGAATTGAGATTCAAACCTTTATTCCTTGTGATCCTGAAGGCGATATGAGGTGCCATATGAAAGGAGGGTGTCGGAACGATTTTCTAATGTTCCCTTTAGGATAATTTTTGTTACCCTTTTGGGTGGATAATTAAAAAAATCAATTACTCAGACAAACACATTTCAAATTTCAAGGCTCACAGATATTTCTATCAAAAGATCCAGCCTCGCAAAATTTAGGGAATATTCATCCAATTTTTGTCCAGAATTGACAAAAAATATGTACACACAGAGTTATAAATTTTGCTATCTTAGACCTCTCTGCATGGTCACTGTAACAGGTGGTTATCTCATCAATTCAGCTCTCAAATAAAATAAGAAAAAGGGGATCATGGGGGACCCCTGGGTACCGCATAGGTAGTGTTGGCTATATAGAGGGCGCATGTAGATACAAGTTGTGCAGTCCTGCTTTAAACGAAGTCCCTTTGCATTTTATTTCATGGAATTATATTTTTCTCGGCACACCAGCTAACAATAACAAAACTAGAAGCACATGGATGATTTGAGAGACTCTCTCGATTTCTAGCTGGCTACTTGATACTTGATGGAGTAATCCCTTTGGCAGTTTTCTCAGGAAGCTATACTGGGATTGTTGGTGAGGCGAGTAACTGCAAAGAGTACCATGAAGTGCAGAAATGGTGTGGGGACAAAGCACTTGTCAATTTACATTTGTTTTACAGTTAAATATGCAGGGAATAATTTTCCTGGTATCGCATCGCAATTTGCTATGCATTTTTGCATGACTGCTATACAAAATATCTTTTGTGTAGCAATTTTCTTCCATAGAAATGTACAGAGTTTCATTTGAAATATTTATCCATCGGCTGAAATTGCTAATCAAAAAATTTGAGGAAAATTATTCCCTGAATATGCCAAGTCCAGTGCAAGTAAAAACCATGCCAGTAAACTTAAATGATATGAGAGGCTACAGGGTGCTGCATGATTCTAATAAAGGGTAGAGCAGTTTCCTTGAAGTGACTTTGAAGTAGGTTATACCTTTTGCATTGACTGCAGAGCCTGGTAGATGGTTCCATATCCGTAATTGTTCTTGGATTCTTGGATAGTACTTATTAGGGAAAATTGAAGGAGTTTATGGTTGCATCAGGAATTACATACTTTAGGTTGTGGTGGTTGTGTCTTCCAAAGCAGGTGATAGTATGAAATATGATATTGATATGTATCACGTAGCCTTAATTGGCACCCATACGTAATGTTAGACTTGTGTTGAATTAACATGTACTAGTTATGCCATTCTTTTCCAGCTGCTCTGAAGCGAATGCTGAATCTAAATGCAATACCAACCAAAGCTACCCTTGCAGAGCCAGCATGGAAGGTAAGACCTTGCTCTCTTTCTTTTACAATCAAATGTTACCTCAAATCTTCCAGTTGGAGCAAAATAGATTTAGAGCAGAGTACTGTTTGTACAGAAATGAAAAGGTTTAGGTTATGAAAGAATTTTCTATTTCTCTTTTCTTTTACATTGATGGGTTGTTGAATAAATACTCTTTATTTCATATACAGTTTGAAATTGGATTTTCAGAATATTGAGTAAACTATTTGGTATCATTTAATGGCAGAAATGTCAGTAGCAGGTCCTTGACATTTCCAAGTTATTTTTGTGGTGTCTCAGCCAGGGACAGTCAGATTTGCAAACCTACTATCTCCAACCACCATGGCCATGGAGTAATAAAATATTCTTAAAATTGGCAGATTTAGAGAATTTTGTAATGAGTAACCTGTGAATTTATATATATAATCTTAATGATTTGGAAATGTTTGAGGGAATCGATGTTCATACATTCATTCATATATTACTAATTCTGCATAATATAATACAAGAATGCAATATTATGTTTGAGATGATGTGTGACTGAAAATGTTAAAAACAAACTACGAAAAAATATATCCTATGATCGTGCTAAAAATCAGTACATTTTGGGGGATCTATATGGTGGCATAGTATATTATTTTATGCAAATTGCATTGTGGCTAATGAAGTAAAATATGTTGAAGCAGATGATTACATTACTTATTTGGCTGGGAATGTTATTTGGCAACTAATTTATTGTTACCTCTCTACAAAAATGTATTTTAAATCTGTATAGGTTTTGATGTAGGATATTGTAAACCAACAGAATGAAATAAACCAAGTATTTAAGAATAGGAACATGTTCTTCTGTAATAGCTGCAGTTGAATTCTCATCACACAATTGTCTTTTGACTAAAGATTCTCTGCATATTTGTAGGCCAATTACTAGACCTATAGAGAACTGGCCAAGTTGTCAAGGTTCCTGGTTCCAAACAATTATGTGCTAAACAATGGTTCTGTGATCACATCACCCCCTAACACTGGATTCGCCCTGCTCCAGCCCATTGCTTGATTGATTTCAAGGTGAACCTCATGCGCAGGTTCTATTGTTGAGAACCAGTACCCTGGACAACGAGAGAGTATGCCGTTGTATGCTGCATCTGAATGTACAAAAGTATAAAGTTCGCTTCAAATTTTGTTATGGTTATTGGTGGTCATTTTACCTGACTGCTAAGAAAGCATATGTCCTTGTAAGTAAGCAACCAGACGGCCAGCGGCTTTAGGTCCTCTCCGAGGGACCTGGTAATGAGGATTAATGCCTTACCAAAGGGCACTCGGTGATTTTGTGCTATTTTATTTCATTTTGTATTTCCGTCTTATTTTCACTTCAGGGTATTAGATTATCTGCACTATATAATAATGGAATACTATTATTTATCTTCTTTTTTTCCTCCTTCTCCCCCATCTCCTCCTTCTCCCCCATCTCCTCCTCCTCTTCCTTCTCCTCTGCTTCCTTCCAGTGTTGTACAATACACATGATGATACTCTATTGAATCTTTGTTTACACGTCTTTTACTTTATGTTGACAGGTTCTGGTCTATGATCGCTTTGGTCAAGATGTCATTTCTCCTCTTCTATCCGTGAAGGAGCTAAGAGATATGGGAGTTACACTTCACTTGTGAGTTTCTGCCTTTCTTATAGTATAATTATGCTGTTTTAGATATCATAGAGCATTTTGCTGTTTTGTGACAGTAACATCATATCTGGTGGCAGCACCGTTGGCAGCACCAATAAAGCCTTGCCCTTCGGCTGTCCTAGCTGTTTCCACATTCATATCACATTTTGGTGGTTGTTTTATTCTATTGAAAATGTTTTTCTTTAACTTGTACACTATGTTTTGTATTTTATATGTTTTTATGATTTTTTTTATGATGAATGAAATAAAGATCAATTTCAATTTCAATTCAATCTATGATTTGTCTGTCTTGTCGGCAAATAAGACATTTATTGATATTGGTATTGTGATTTATTTTCTGTAACACAATATTTAAAAACAATACAAAGAAAATGCATGAACATAGTTAAATCAATGGTATAGTGAATGGCTGGATAACCCATTCAGCTTTGTTAGTTTTTACCAAAACTGTTCTTCCCTGGGGTCCAGTAAATTAAGATAACAGTTATTGTTAAACAAAGAGAATAAGAATAGTACAACATATAATAATATTATTTAAATACATATAAAACCTGAAACATATTAGAGAAGCATAAACAATCCCCCAAAACTGATTTCTTAAATTTAGATTTTTTTCATAAAGTATTTAAGCTGTTGGATATGTAAATAGTAGGTCATTGTACTCAAGTGAGCCTTTATACAAAAATATTTTTCGGCAGCATTCACTCTTTGGTTTTTGGAGTTTAATATTTCCATGTGATCATAGAGAGTATGGATAATTACAGTATTTGAAGGACTCCTCAAGGAATGATAATAAATTTTCATACTGTTAGAAATAATTGAAAATTGCTATTTGGCGGTCTAAACTAAAATGGCTTTATAGGATATGCACACAACCCTTGCAAAATGCTTGGGTAAGGACAAATTATATCTTTCCCTTTATGTATAAAGTGCAAGTTAATTATAAAAACATAAAGATTTATAATCGTTAGTATGTTTCATACAAATAATGATAATAATAATAATATGACTGGCTATTCTTTTTTGAGACACAACTTATGTCACACTGGCTTTGAGAATATTTTGTTGTCATGCCAACTCATGAAACGTGCCCGTCAGCTCATGGGATATACCCTCGTATTCCACTCAAGCCCATTCAATATTATATAATGATCCTTCATTGCTAGAATGTGTTGATGTCATACACTCCACAGTACTTTAAAAATATCTTGTTTATAGATTATTGCATTCTGATCGAGATCCTATACCAGATGTGCCGGCTGTATACTTTGTCCTACCAACAGAAGAAAATGTGCAACGAATATGTCAGGTAAAGGTTTATATTCCTCTTAATTATTGGCATCACTTGTGTTTATATTTTTAGTTCTATTATTATGTCGACTAAAATTAGTATGTAATTGTATGCCTTCAAAGGATATCGGTAGACTAAATGTGTGAATTTTTGGGAAATTTGTAATGTCTGTATTCAAGTACAAATTACCACTTACTCCCTTCCTTTGGCTTATTGTTATTTATTTGTTATTAAAGAAGTTAAAGCTACACTTATAAAGAGATATGTATTGATGACATCTTCTGAGCTTTGTTGTCTAATGAATACGTTTTATTTTCTTGAGTGATTCTAAAATGTCAATGTGAATATTAGTAAGATATAATTGATTTTCTATTGCACATACAGGACTTTCAGAATCAGACATATGTATCATACTACTTGAACTTCATCTCAGCAATATCTCGCCAGAGACTAGAAGACCTTGCCAGTGCTGCTCTTCAGTCTAATGCTGTCAGTCTCATATCTAAGGTTGGTAACTCAGTCTTCATCTACACTGTTTTAATTCAACTGTGTTATTCGTAGAAAGAAGAAGTGCCTATTTTGACTCCTCCAAATCATATCTTGATTGTTCTTCTTCTTACCCCAAATAATGAGTGCAGGTATGCTCAAAGATCAGATATATTCCTGCCTTTTGATGTACAATGTTCCTTACAAGGGTGTACAAGAGATAAAATGGAGATATTCTTGGCATGATGTAATGCCTTTTAGTATGAAATGGGCACAGCCATTTTTTTGATAATGTGACGTACTAGACAAACTTGTACATGTATCATACACAAAGCTTTAGTTAGAGATACTTTTTAATTCAACAACAAAACATTTAATTTTCAATGAGGGGAAATCATAGCTGAGAATGTGAAAATTATATTTGGTGAAAAATATAACAGGGGAATCAATGTAACTCTTTATTTAAAATACTAAAATATAGGAGTTGCCAAATCTGTTTCATATACGTGAAACCTTCACCCCAGATCACCAACTTATACAAAGTGGCGTTCTGAGAATTGAAACCAACCAACTGAAACTATGCAGTTAAATTGTGCAAAATAATGATATTGAATAGTTTGCATTGAACTTAGAGGGCAAACCAACCTTGTAATATACAGTGCATCCAAGAAAAAAAGAAACCGAAGAATTATCAATGTTTTATCATAACTTAATCACAATTATAATTAATAAACGACACATATTTGTAAAGCTTAGATCCTCCTCTTTCATTTGATGCAACTTATATGATGCATGTTTCACGCATGACTGTTTAAAATCAATTTGAAGAGAGGGAACTAAAAAGTCATTTGGTGGACGGTATCTGAATTTCAAAGAGAAAATCACATTTCTAGAACGTTCAGTTTCTGCCCTTTCATATGACACCTCAATCAGGAAAAATGAGTAAGGAATAACAAAGTTATGTTTGTTTAAAGTGATGCTTGCATTTCAATAATTTGTTTTAAAAGTTTGTTTTTGCTGGCTGCCTGCCGTAGCAACGAGCAGAATTCACAAAAGACTTCAATTCGTTGACAATCACCCTTGCATGAGGTCTCTAGTCTATGTCTGACGTCAACGAAACGGAGATAAGTCTTTTGTCAATTCTGTTTGTTGCTACGGCAGGCAGCCAGTGAAAACGAATATCACATTATATAACATCTCTATGCGCTACCAAAGAGCTTTGGAAATTATTACCCTAGCTTTAGCTCCGGCATCCGTTATCAGCACACAGTGCATTTCAAGGAATAATCCTACCAGGTACCCATTTACCTCACCTGGGTCGAGTGTGGCAAACGTGGATTAATGTCTTTCCAAATGACTTTAGTTCCGCGGTGGGACTTTAACCGAGATCTTGTGATCCACAGTCCGGTGACATATCCACTCGACCATGACACCTCTAACATTTCATGTTAATTGGAACCTTCAAGCAAGATATTTGTAGGGCTCGAATGCCCCCCCCCCCCCCATACTGTGCAAAATCTCATTATTCCAACTTCCTTTAACATTAAAAAACAGGCTATATCTCAAGTTACATGATGACCGATACATGGAACTCTTTGGCATAATAAATAAATTGATTCCTTACATTCTCGTTCCTTTTGAAAGGTTTTCGACCAATATCTGAATTTCATCACCTTAGAGGATCACTTTTTCACAGTCAGGCATCAAAACAGAGACTCAATATCCTACCATGGTAAGTTTAGAGATATGAGTGTGTGAGGTATTGTGAATGGAAATTTGAAAGCGTGTTCACTGGTTAAACAACAGAACTCTATTTTTTTAAGCTACAAGCAAGCAAGGTTGCACTGACGATAAAATACATGATAAACTGTATTTCCTTTTCGATATTTTATTGAGGTAAATAAACTGCAGACTTAACACTTGCAAAGTGTAGTCATGCAAGCAAATAAATGATTCAGAATAAGAATCACATGAATGAGAATTGAGAATATTGCACAGAGATTAAATGGGAATGTAACAAATGAGAATAAATATAGCTTACGACTGATGCTCAATTGGAGGAATAAACACACATGGTCCAGATAATGAATATAGATACCTAGCGTGATGGAAAATTACTAAAAAAATGAATGTACAGTAAAAGTACGAATGTATGAGTCCCTACATAATAGAGACTCAACTCCTACCATGGTAAATCTATATCAAAACAGAGACTCAGTATCCTATGTGAACTGTGTCATAACCTGTGTAGTCTTTTCTTTCCTTTAGCCATCAATCGGAGTGATGTGAAAGACACAGAAATGGATTCCATCATGGATACTATTGTTGATAGCCTCTTTTCATTCTTTGTGACTATGGGAACTGTGCCTATCATCAGGTCTGCCAAGGGTAATGCAGCAGAGATGGTGGCAGAGGTTAGTAAAGTCACAGTTTCATTACACTCTTAAATTGCTTAGTGTTTAGTCTCTGTGTATAAGATCACCCCTATTTTTAGGACCAAGATTACCTGATTACATTTTTGCGGTCAAAGGTCACAGATAATTAAAAAATACTGATTATGTTGCAGACGGAGGCATATTTTTCGACTTGTTTAACGGTTCAAAAGATGAGTAACATAATGATCCCCCTTAGATCTCACCTGTAAAGAATTGATCAAGGCAAAGGTTTACACCCATACCTCTCATCTTCACTAAAGAACAACACCTCATCACATATTTTATTGACAATCTTGATTTTTATTCATTTGTAATGTTTTAACAAAGATGGTTTATGAAGAGTTGCGTTTGATGCAAAATTGGTTTTAGCAAACTATACAAATACTGAAATAAGAGGGAGTTATAAAGCTCCTTCATATTTTTATATGGTATTTAATCCTTTTTAGTCTTGCTATATGATGATCTCTGTTGAATCAATATTCTGATAAAACAGATTACTTGCACTTACATGTATGATGGAGAAATATGACAAATGCAAAAAGACGATAAGGCATTATCGTATCAGGACAAGTACTACCCAGACAGTCACCCCTCCTCCCCCCCCCCCCCCCCGAAAACTACCCCCAATGGACTATAACCCCCTGGAAAATTACCCCCCAAGACACCCCCTGAGGACAATTACCCCAAGGAAAATGACCCCCTTATTCATTAAAGGGGAAGTCCACCCTGATAATAAGTTTGTTTTAATAAAAGCAGCATTTTTTTTTTTTTTTTTTTTTGGGGGGGGGGGGTAGCTGTCCTTAGGGGGTAATTTTCTGGCTGGTCATTGGCCAGGGGTGATTGTCCTACAACCAGGAATTATGTCACCAAAGGATAAGTGACCATGTAGTCACAATGTAACAGTATGTTTATTTGTTTGTAAACAGTACACCTGGATTCCATCCCAAAATACTTCATGTATCTATACATTTACCCTGATATGCATGTTTTAAACCTTATCTTCAGAAACTAGATAAGAAGCTTAGAGAGAATCTTCGTGATGCAAGGAATAGCCTTTTCACAGCAGATAGTGTTCAGTCTGGTCAGATCAGGTGAGTGTGTAGGGACATAGTTCAGGAAAAAAGTGCTTCAAATTCATGGGCTTGGTTTTGATTTTGTATTCTGTTATTGCTATTGTTTATACCATGTATTTTTCCCTTTACTGGGAACTACTCCATACAAGTTTTTACAAACTTTTTTGTAGTTTCTATGTTAATTTGCTACTTTTATATATATTATAATATTGTTTTAATGCTTGAGAAGATTTAATAAATTGAACTGAACTATCTGTTGACACAAGTGCCCCTCTCCCACACCCTCAAATCAAGCATGCTAATCTCTGATTTGAGTTAACCCATTGTGTACAGATAGTGGGTGGCTCTTGCATTAAAGCCTATGAGAATGAGAGAATACAATAGACAATGGGTGAAGCAATATAATCTCTTCATCACCTTATCATTTTTGTAACTTCCCCAATTAATTCTTCAGTTTTCAGCGTCCTCTCCTTGTGATCTTAGATAGAAACATGGACATGGCTACTCCTCTTCACCATACATGGACATATCAAGCATTGTCACATGATGTACTGGTAAGCCAGTCAGCCTCATCTTATATCTTAGAATCAGAACGAAAATGTTGTTGCCTCTGTAGTGTCAAGATTGAGAAGCTTGACTCATTAGAATAAAACCATTGACTGCAATCCAATTTTTGATATGATAATTATATATTTTAGTTGTCCGGACTTCCACCTTTATAAAGAAACATCATAACAGATTATGAAACTGGCTCTTGCAAGCTCCCATCCCAATCGTCCTGTACTAAAAAACTGTAAAAATCTTTAATTTCCCTTGAGAAAAGGTTCAATCATACATTCACTCTAAATGTAATTATAACAAGTATGTTTTTATACAACCCCTGCATGATACAAATCTATTACGTCGACAATAATTAAGAAAATTGAGTTTTATGAAATATTCTGTAGAGAGCAAATTGAAGAGGAGCCCACATGATACGTCACAATGTTGCCAATTTGTGTTTCACTAATGACAACTTTAAAATTACCTAAATTTACTATTTTTAATCACATTTTGCTCAATTTTTACTATTTTGTTTCTCATATTTTTTCTGCCTTTATCAAAACCAACTTAATATCAGAGTGGACTTCCCCTTTATTGTATGTGCCCTGCATATCGAATGCACTGTCAAGCACAAATATTTGTGTACTCTAACTCTTTATAATGTGTTCTTTGAATTGTCAGGATTTGCAGCTGAATAGAGTGACATTAGAAGAGACTGTTCCTATCAGTAGTCCTGGTGCAGGGCCTGGAAGAACAAGGAAAAAAGTCAAGTCTTATGATCTTTCTTGCACAGACAGGTTCTGGATAGGACAGAAGGGAAAGTAAGTTTCTTGATTAGGGCTAGCAATTTAGGGTATCTTTTTCATTTAGGTTCCCCTTCCAAATTTTGAACGGTACCCAAAATTTATACAACACTAACTGTCCGCTAGACCTACTCCTTTTGGTAGATCTAAATGTTCCTATAAGCACCCCTATATGGTTTGAACAAGAAGAGTATATCACAACGATAGTATGTAAATGGGACCACAGCTTCAGACAAGTATATGCACATGTATCAAAGACAGAAAAGTGAGAGTAAATATGACATTCCAGAAGAGCCTTATGATCCATTTTACATATACAAGTTATTAATAATACAGAAGGGAAAGGAAGTCTTGATTTCAAACTGAAATTCAGAGTTAGGAATTATAATAAAAAGTGGATCTCCAGAAATTTCCCTTATTGAAGTGATATGTTTGAACCATTTTTTTTTTTTTGATTGTGTTTTATTTTGTTAACAGTCCATTTCCAGAAGTAGCTGAGGCAGTTCAGAGTGAGTTGGATGCTTACAGGGCTTCTGAAGATGAAGTCAAGAAACTCAAATCAGCTATGGTAAGAAGCTTCTTCATCATAATTTCTCTCTTCACTTTACATGCAGTAGAATTAGATCAATTTTGATGATATAATTGATGTAAGTATACATTTAATGTCAATATCTAGTAAAAATTACAGATGTAATAAAATAATTTCTATACATTTTTTGAGCACCACCCCACCAGTGTGCTTGAAGCCCATGTATACATTTTGGAAAGCCCTGAATCCCCACTGTTTCCATAGATATATATAACAAGACACAAGCATTACTACCTTCTGTATAGCCCCCCCCCCCCCCCCCCCCCCCAGTGGAATATAACATAAAGGTGTGATAATAACAAAGGAGTGATGATAACTTGTATAATTGGTATTACAAAATCAAAGAATAAAAGTATATACCGGTAGTTAGGAACACACTGATGAAAATCTTCAGCATGATTCAGATGCCATTCACAGCCCACTCACTCAGGAACTAGACTTAGTGTAAAACCTATGTCAGCTGTGTGTTAACATCTGTGTCTGGGATTTCAAAGTGAACATCTGATATTGCTGTGGCTGTGTAGAGAGCTGCATGGGAAGAAGGATCCTAATGTAGGGCCTTATTTGGCCAGAATATGCCTTTCATTCAGATATGCTATATCTCATCAGAAGTTGTGGATGAAACATTAAAATAACAACTTGCAAATATATCTTTTCAGAAAGTAGAACAATATGAAATAAAATTTTATCTTGTTTTATTCAAATTTCCTTTTCACTTCTTTTACTATTCATTATCTATAACATTTAAAATGAGCCAGGGTAAGTTGGAGATTCAAAAGGCTTCAGTTCATACCTCAGTTTCACTTCTTTTACTATTCATTATCTATAACATTTAAAATGAGCCAGGGTAAGTTGGAGATTCAAAAGGCTTCAGTTCATACCTCAGTTATATAGCATCATGGAAGAATCTGTAATGTGGAACAAAAATGGAGTTAAGAAATGTTATTATGACTGAAGAAAACATTTTAATGGTGTTTGGCATTGAATGAGGTGTGATCCAATCTCGCGAGAATACATGTCATGTTGATGTTTTCCCTTTAGTAAGGTAACAATATTTCTCTCTTCATTGTAGGGGCTTGAAGGTGAAGATGAGGAGGCAATTAGCTTGCTTTCAGACACAACGGCTAAATTAACTTCTGCAGTAAGGTTAGTCATTGTAATAATGTACTGTCCTCTGTTCAAGACTGCTTCAGATGTGATCCAATCTTGTGAAAATACAAACAAAGCTAGTAGATGTCCCTTAACCCTCATTTACACATCATGCAGTAAATTACCAAAAATAGAATGAAGAATAGAATTGAAAATGATATTAGTGAGCTGTTTTTATCTTCAATTCTTCAGAGGTGTATCACTTATACTGGAGTGTTGGCTCAGTCAGTAGAGCGTCCGCCTCACAACCGGGAGGTCGTGGGTTCGAACCCCGGCCGCGTCATACCAAAAGACTTTAAAAGATGGGAGTTGTTGCTACCTTGTTTGGCGTTCAACATTAAGGGATAGAGCAACGTCGATCTGGCGCTGCTCAGTGGCTGCCGGGCAAAAAGAATTCCGTTTCGGTTTAATAAAATTTGGAGTGGACTATTAGACTATTATTATTATTATTATTATTACTCCATGTTGAGCCATGAGCCAGTTGTAACTTTGGGTTGATTGAAAAAGAAAGTTACAATTCACACATGTTATGATGCTTGATCTGTGCAATACCCCTCAAAGTCTTCATTATCTTAGATATTACAGAAAACAAGTAATATTTGGTACTCCTTCAACTGTCTTTGTTGATTTTTTTTTCCAGCTCTCTTCCAGAATTGCTTGAGAAGAAAAGACACATTGACATGCATATGAACATTGCTACTGCTCTCCTTGATCATATAAAGGTATGAATGATTACATATTTAAACTTTAACTTTAGTAATGGGATCAATTGACATAGTGATAGTTAGGATTAGAGGTAGACCTTGTATTTAGGCCATATATATGTGTGATGTGTGTGTGTGTGTGTGTGTGTGGGGGGGGGTCTTCTCTTCTGTGATATAATCTTTAAAACCACAAATAAAATCAACTGCACTGTGACATCTCTATCTTTGACATTTTAAGATATTATTTGCACTCAAATTGAATTAGTTATCGTACATTATAAGTGCATTCTACCTATATTTTTATGCCTCCGCCACCGAAGGTGGTGCCGGAGGCATCATGTTTTCGGGTTGTCCGTCCGTACGTCCGTACGTCCGTCCCGTTTGACCGTTATCACAATATCTCAAGAACCATTTAAGATTTAAACTTAAGACTCACCATAGGAAGACGATCTGATTAGATTTTGGAGTACGTAGGTCAAAGGTCACAGGTCACAGAGGTCAACTTATGAAATTCCTTGTATTGAGTTTGTTAGCGCGAAATCTCAAGAACCATTTGAGATTTAAACTTCAAACTTAAGGAAAGTATGTATCACCATAGGAAGACGATCTGATTAGATTTTGGAGTACGTAGGTCAAAGGTCACAGGTCATAGAGGTCAACTTATGAAATTCCATACATTGAGATTGTTATCATGATATCTCAAGAACCATTGGAGATTTAAACTTCAAACTTAGTGATAGTGTGTATCACTATAGGAAAACAATCTGAGTACATTTTGGAGCACGTAGGTCAAAGGTCAAGGGTCATAGAGGTCAACTTATGAAATTCCATACATTGAGATTGTTATCATGATATCTCAAGAACCACTGGAGATGTAAAAACTTCAAACTTAAGGATAGTATGTATCACCATAGGAAGACGATCTGATTAGATTTTGGAGCACGTAGGTCAAAGGTCAAGGGTCACAGAGGTCAACTTATGAAATTCCATACATTGAGATTGTTATCATAATATCTCAAGAACCACTGGAGATTTAAACTTCAAACTTAATGATAGTGTGTATCACCATAGGAAGACAATCTGATTAGATTTTGGAGCACGTAGGTCAAAGGTCAAGGGTCACAGAGGTCAACTTATGAAATTCCATACATTGAGATCGTTATCGCGATATCTCAAGAACCACTGGAGAATTTTCACTTCAAACTTAATGATAGTATGTATCACCATATCATAATATCTCAAGAACCACTGGAGATTTAAACTTCAAACTTAATGATAGTGTGTATCACCATAGGAAGACAATCTGATTAGATTTTGGAGCACGTAGGTCAAAGGTCAAGGGTCACAGAGGTCAACTTATGAAATTCCATACATTGAGATTGTTATCATGATATCTCAAGAACCACTGGAGATTTAAACTCCAAACTTGTTTAAATTGCTCTATGGCGGAGGCATCATTTTCGACTGCGCGCAGTCAAAATTCCATCTAGTTTTACTTCAATTTATTTGCATTTATGAAAATTGCATAAGAAAAGAAGAAAAAACTAAACTTGAATTTGTTACTTAATAAATTAAGTGATATGTACCGGTATTCTTATTTACATAATGTAAAAAATGCATTTTCACGGTTTTATCTTATTTAATAAAAATGCTCCTCCCATTATGGTCTATCCAAATGTCAAGTTTAAACTTTGAAGCATTGATCATTGTGGATCTATGGAATAAAGATTGAGACATTATGACCATTGACCCTGTACAATAAGCAGTTACACACACTACACCATTGTCATTGACCCTAATTAAATTAATGAAGAATGCATTTTCACAATTTTATCTTATTTCATAAAATGCTCCACCCGTCAAGTTCCAGCTATATGTCAAGTTTCATTGTCAGATAGTCCACAATGGGAGGGTTCCAATTCAAGGTAAATTAATAAAATGGATTTACCCTAAAGAAAATTACACCCACCATAAACACATGGTAAACTTAGCGCTCTTTGGAACTAAACATAAATCTTGATCCAATTGTGTATGCTTCAATTGGCGCTCGTGCACTTGGTGCAATTTGCCATGTCACCCATCAAAACACGAGAGGGCTCACTTCCACAGGACATTTAAATTCTACCGCGATCATTTTAGCTCGTCATCATGTGCATGTAAAATCTGAAGTTTGATTTGGACTCATTGTCTTTGACCAAACATTTCTTCATGATCCCCTGATCAAGATGGAAAATAAATGATACTTGTGATTTAGAGCTAACATCAGCTACAACATATTAAAATTCAGAAGAAAATTGATTTGAAATGATAGAGATATGGTTGAGAGTACATTCTCATTGATTACGAAATTGATTAAAATCGATTAAAATCAAAATTTTAAACTTTAACATGCAATATGATGACATCAGAAAATCTGATTAGCCAAAAATATGTAGGAAAACAAATTGTAAAACAAATTGTAAAATGTAAAAACAAATTGGGGTTATCCATACATTTAAAGAAGTTATGGCCAATAAAACATGGCATGATTTTTATTTTATGCGTGCAAATACGCCCTCTCCGACCTGCACGGCCAGAAATATTTGAAGCGCTTAAAATTGTCTGAAACGTATAGAAAATAACTTGGGATCGGGTTTTGAGCACTTTTTTTTGTTGACGCGCCCGTTTGAAGGGGCAGGGGCATGTGCGTGGGCTAAAATTCTGACCCATGACCTGAGCATGACTGATGCCAAATTTGAATTGAAATTGATATCTCATGGCTGATATACGTCCATTCTTGACATTTTACATGATGACGTCACGATGCCCTGGCGTAGCTGAAAAGTCATGCAGTTCTAAGTTGTTCTAAGATCTACAATCAACCAGTCCTGAGATATCCTGCAAACAAGTTCATGGAAGAATAATGAATGAATAACAAATAATTAAAAAAATCTTTACAAAATAAAAAGGTGATACTTCTACGTACCAAACGTATCACCTAATTATGATACCTGATTAAAAATACAGTTATTTGTGATGATTTTTTTTTCTTCTCCACATTATTATTTTATCTTGAAGGCAAGGAAGTTGGATGTATACTTTGAACTTGAAGAGAAATTGATGAGTAAACAGACATTAGATAAATCTTTGATGGATGTGATCTCAGATCCTGATGCTGGCTTACCAGAAGATAAGATGAGACTCTTCATCATCTTCTACATGTGCTCTCCATCAGTACCAGATGTAAGCAACCAGAATTATATTTGATTTCATTTATATCTTGCATTCAATGATTCTCCATCAGTACCAGATGTAAGCAACCAGAATTATATTTGATTTCATTTATATCTTGCATTCAATGATTCTCCATCACTACCAGATGTAAGCAATCAGAATTATATTTGATTTCATTTATATCTTGTATTTAATGACTCTCCATCAGTACCAGATGTAAGCAATCAGAATTATATTTGATTTCATTTATATCTTGTATTCAATGATTCTCCATCAGTACCAGATGTAAGCAATCATAATTATATTTGATTTCATTTATATCTTGTATTCAATGATTCTCTATCAGTACCAGATGTAAAGGCCCGGTCACACAGAGAGGACGCATGGGGAACGCATGGCCAGCGCATGGGAAATTTACAATTTTGGCCAGTGCGTTGTCGTGCGCCCAACTTTTGTCGAAGCTACAGCGAGCTGACACCACATGCATAGCGTGTTGCTAGCGCGCTGAGCGCATACAGGGCGCATACAATGCGCATACAGACCATACACAGAGCGCACATGATGACAACTTCCACGAATGCACAGCGTGTTGCTAGCGCGCTGGACGAATGGTCCACGCATGCACCGCGTTCTACGACGCACGGCCCACGCATTGGAAATCGGAAAAGGCTGTGTGCCTAACTTTTGTCATGATTTTGGAAAAGCTAGCGAGCTGACAAAAAATGCACAGCCTGTAGCTAGTGCGCTGGGCGTATACAGGGCGTGTGCTCCGCGTATGTCTAGCGTGCCTTTGGCGTGTACATTCATTCGTCGAGCTCCGCGCACACTTTTGAGCATGCTAAAAAAAACCTGAAGCACACAGCGAATGACGACGAATGCATAGCATTGGTCCAGCATTGGTCCAGCACGCTCGACGAAAGAGTAACGAATGATGACGCACGCCTATCGAACGACAAAGCACTGGCCCAAATTGCAAATTTCCAATGCGCTGGCCGTGCGTCCCCCATGCGTCCCCTCTGTGTGACTGGGCCTTAAGCAATCAGAATTAGATTTGATTTATTTATATCTTGTATTCAATGATTCTCCATCAGTACCAGATGTAAGCAATCAGAATTATATTTAAATTCATTTATATCTTGTATTCAATGATTCTCCATCAGTACCAGATGTAAGCAATCTTAATTACATGTGATTTTATTGGATGTAGTGTTTATTGATTTTAATGCCAGCATTCGATACAAATATGAATAATCTTAATTGCTTCCTGGTCCATTTATTGTCGTTCAAATGCATTCGTTTTGACAGTCTGAGGTTGAGCAGTACCGAACAGCATTAGAAGCAGCTGGTTGTAACCTAGCTCCATTAGATTATATCAAGAGATGGAAGTAAGTCCATGCATTCTTAGTCTAATTTATCATTGTTCTCACATTCTAGTATTTACTGTAAAAACACTTGATATCTGCTATACTTGAATAGCGATGTTGTTTACAGTTTGAAAAAAGTTTCAAGTTAGAAGGGTATCTAGATTTACAGTGCATATCAGGGTTACAATAGTTGCAACATTCATCAAAATACATGGAGTAATGCTAAGAAATTTATGTGTTATGCCAAAATATAGTTTTGAAGAAATGTAATTACAGATATAAAATCATAGTGTATACTCTGTTAAATTTCTTATTATGAAATGCATTTGTATAATTATGTTTGCAAGTCATTTACAATCTGTCATATCATTTTGGGAAATGATAATAATCACATTGGCAATGGATTACATTTCAGTACTGCTTGATAGATATAATAGGGGCTTCATGGATCCAGTGAATTCTGTTTATTTTATTTCTTATTTCTGACTGAATCCAAGTGCTTTTTAAGGATTTTCATTTTATAATTTCATTTCAAAATGTCGCATTGAAATATATCAATGGGGCAGATATTATATAAGCTGAAATGCCTTATCACTAATTGTCCTGATTGTAAAGTTCTGTATCAAAACATGCAGGTATTCTTCTTCTGCAATGCAGTTTGGAAGACAATTTTATGTATTGATTAATGACATATACGCTGTGTAGCTTACAAAGTCATACCTCAATTATCTGGTTTTATCAAGCCATTTTGAAAAAAGGATACTTCATCTTTTAATGCAAGAGCTTTCAGCAAAATGGTTGCGTTGCTTATTCAGTAAAAATTTTAAGACAGTGATAGTGTTCTCATAAATTCAGGCAAATATCAGTGATAATATTCTCATAATATCAGTGATAATTTTTCATAAATTCAGGCTAATCCAGGCGCGTACACAGGGGGGGGGGGGGGGGGTTGGGGGTTAAACCCCCCCCCCCTTTGGTATTTTTCTGTGTGTAAACCCCCCTCAACCCCCCTTGAAAAAATCCGGCGTACGCGTCTGGGCTAATCTATCATCTATATCTTACTTGCAGAGCTTTTAGCAAGATGGCTGCACCACCTAGCCAGTATGGAGGTGGAGGTACAAAGACAGTTGGAATGTTTTCCAAACTCATGAGCACAGGATCTAACTTTGTCATGGAAGGTGTCAAGAACTTTGTTGTCAAGAAACATGTAAGAACATATCACTTCTGATATTATCAGTTTGGATAGATGATTAAATATAAGTATGTCAAAGACCAACAGTATTTTTGTGTTGGTTGCTGGTTTTGTTTTGAAATTGGCATTATTATTAATCAAATGCTCTTATATTTTATGGCTAACTGAAATGGATATTGTTTTGCTATGATCAGTTAATTGTACTATTATTTAAGAATGAATAGGAATTTTTGTTTGTTGTTGACGTAGAACCTGCCCGTAACAAGAGTTGTGGATTCCCTAATGGAGCTGAAATCAAACACAGTAAGTATATCTTCATTTGGGAATTATCCAAAGTGAGGTATGCATATTCATTACAAATTGGCAAGTTCATTATTTCCAAGTGTTCTACCTCTATGATTCAACACAAGAGATTTTGGCTTTCGGAACCAAATTGAAACAGTTTCTCACATGTTCTCCTTTTTCTTTTAGATGATTTTTTGTATGTATTTTTTTTTGTAGTATTGTACTAATTATTGGCAATAATTGAATTGGTTTATTATTAAAAAAAAATAAAAACATGACATGCAGCTCGAGGCTGACATTGTCTGCTTACAAAGTAATCAGATTATTACATTTATATACAAAAGCAGTATAACAAAATAACAATGGTAATATCTCACAGCAACATGATATAAGAATTAGATAAATGTACCTCAGATGTGGATAAGTAGTTATCGAAATAATTTAGGCAATGTCATTAAATATTCAAGGATAAATTTTATTGATCACGTTCAGGAATATAAAGAATAAACAAAAGCAATAAAAGAAAAGCAACAACAACTTTTTGATGTGAGCCTAAAATGTGGATATATTTTTATTTATGTAGTCAATCAATTGTATGTCACTTGGCAGCTGATATCAGATGTAGTAGGAGCCTAAGGCAGAATACATTTTAGTAAGTTTTATAGCCTTATGGGGACGATGTTTCTTTCTTTCTTTCTTTCTTTGCTGTTGTTTATTCTTTTAGACGAACCTGTATCGATCATGTTTGTATATATTCTGTTTAATTTGTTTTCAGGAAACAGATGACTACAGATATTTTGATCCTAAGCTCCTTAGAATGACTGACAGGTATGTATAATATGTATACGTGATTAGCTCATCAAAATAACAGTATTGACTTCACTACACACTCCTTGATATGAAATGTTCTTCCTGTCTTGTTAAATATGAGGTGTACTACACTACCAGAGATTCATTTTTCTGTCTTTTCCCTAATGTAAATATGTTCATAATCCATAGTCTTATTTAAGTACATTGTTGTTGTATGATTCGCAATAAGTGGGATAGTGGAGAACATCAGCATTGGGCTGAAAAGGTTAAAGGTAATACAAAGTTTTTGGAAATTTTGTAAATTGGGTGGATAGTGAATCTTTACAATTGTGATATATTTGGATGCCCCTGTGGATGTAGTATAAGCACTAAAAAAAATAGCCCCTAAAACACTTCTGTTTTTGAGAAAAATTAAATATAAAAATTTACCGGTGCTCCCGGTAAATTTTGATAAATTTCAAATAGCGCCTATGGCCGTACAAAGGTAGCTGCGACCATGGAAATCTCAGAATATGTAGTTGTGATATATAATTTCCAAACGGGAATAGAGATGGTCGATTTTAGTCGAGTAACATTGTTTCATAGCTAAATTAATATCTTGACCTTGAGAGGGAGCTATACAACATAAAGAGTTTATTACTTATAAATTCATAACTTTAGACTCGATTTCAACGGCGACAACGACCAATGAATATTGTAGGAACGCATATGCTTCCGATATGTTAATTTGAACCAAATTCATGACCCCATACCAAAACTTTGTATTTAACCCTGTTATAGCAGGGACAAATTGTATTCAGTGTAATTGCTAAGTATTTAGAAGTCAAATGTCCAGGTAGGGGATATGTGTAAACTGAATCATTGTAACCCTTGGGATTCTGCTGATGTTACTGATTGGGATGAGCTTGTGAACCACTACACTGCGGTCTCCCCTTTCCAGAGTGCTATAGGTTCTTAACATGCAAAGATGGCAACTTTCCTTCACTCAGGGCCTCCATTTGATATCTCATTTGACGGACACAATGTTTTCCACCGTCACCTAGCCTGTGTCTGTTTAACAAGAGGGGCACATTAACACACAAAGAAGACATCCACCTGGGTTGGATTCAAACTCATCATCCTTGGTTTGACAGGCAGACACTCGACTGACTGAGCCAACTCAAATCCTTGCTGTTATCTTGTTTGTATGATAGTAGTTAATTTATGCTAGTGGATATGATGTATGATATATATGTATTTATTTTAGGCTCACTTGATGTGAATAAACTTTAGCTTTATTCTATAAATAATACAGTGTTATTGATTTGACAATTTCTTGCTTCAGTTCTTCTTCTATCCCTCGGACCAAGACACCATACCAAGAAGCCATTGTGTTTGTAGTCGGAGGAGGAAACTATATTGAATACCAGAATCTACTAGACTATGTCAAGGTAAGACTTAGAGCTCTTTCCATCCAGTTCGACACATTGATATATCTGACATTTACAGAACTGATGTACCGTGTGAGTCAAAAAAAAGTTTACACCGAGAAAATTGCTAATTATTTTAAAAATCATCTATGTACAGTAAATTATTGTACATCTTATGAAAGAGTGTTTTATCCCGAATCATTTGGTATCATTTTTGTGTGGTATGTGTTCTCGCTTGGATAAACAACTGGCATTGTTTGCATTCGGACCACAAATTCCTACTTTTGGACTGTATTTTTTTTATCATAATCTCATCTTGACATCATCTGCTATCATGTGAGAACTACTAGAAGTCATTTCTTAACATTTCTGTGCACATGTGAAGTCAACTTTTGATGGAGAATTTGTGATTCATTTTGTAATGGAACTGGATGAACTTTGAGCATGGTCCCATATGTGTTATTTTTTGCTGGAGTTTTATCATAGACAACAAGAGAGCCAGTTTGACATTGTAAGTTAGTAATATCATAGACTATATATTCTAATGGAAATATCAATACCTGTGGCATACAGTTATTCTGAAACCTTGTGATAGTCACTTTGCTTTCTTGGAAGGAGAATTTGTGACACATCTTACAAAGATACTGGATGATTTGAGCACGGTCCCATACACATTATTTTTTGTTAGAACTTGGACATGTACAGCTAACTAGCTGCCTTGTAAGTTATTACATGTACTACTAGACCATATATTGCAGTGTGACATACATTTAGAAGTAGAGCAATCTCAACTCTCATCATGCCTGATATCCAAGAGGAAAACCAAGTGTCCAGGCGGTCAAGGAGAAATCATGGGAATGTAGGTTCCCCAGCCAACAAATTTTCACCAAAGATAGGAGAGAGAAAAGGAAAGAAAACAGAATCTAGCACTAAAACTCCAAAATCCATCCGGAATGTCTCAAAGGATGTACTTACCCCCTCATCAACCTCTGGCATACATGAAGATCAGCTCTTACCTGCTGCAGGGCCGCACTCACCCACTGGGGAGAATATGCTTGCTAGTGCAACATCCAAAAGCAAACATAAAGACATGGATGACAACACACCTTCTGCAATGCTGCATCCTACAGAGCAGCCAACCCCCCGCAATGAACCTGTAACCGACACGATCGCAGCTGAAGTAAGATCCTTTTTCAACAGCGCCAAATTTGCCGATCTACTTAAATCAACAATCACTGATGCCATAAGCAAAGAACTCTATGATCTGCGTGTTCAGCTAGAAACAGCGGAAGGGCAAATTCTTCAACTCGAGAATGATCTCAAAGCTAAGGAAAAGGTCATCACCAACTTGAGTGAACAACAGCGAACAGACCACTCTGCAATCGTCAATCTTCAGGAGAAGGCAAATGATGCTGAACAATACCAAAGGAGGAATTGTTTGCGATTTTTTGGGATCCAAGAATCTGAAGGTGAAGTCACAAATCAAAAGATAAGAGATGTAGCACAATCCAAACTTGGCATTAACCTTGGGCCAACTGCAATAGATAGATCACATAGAGTGGGTCCACCATCTAGGGGTAGGCAGGTTGGCCCGAGGGCTATTATAGTGAAGTTTACTCAATATGATGTGAGACAAGATGTAATAAAGAGTCGCAGAAAACTCAAGGGATCACGAATGGGGATTGATGAAGATCTCACCTCACAGAACCGGGCATTACTTGACCATGCCAAAAAAGCAGTTGAAGCAATTCAGCATCTGGAGGCTGCGTGGTCCATTGACGGAAGGGTCATCGTCCTCGTAAAGAAACCCGGTGGCAGAACAGAAAAGAAACGTATAAGGTCTGAAAGTGATCTCACAAAACTCTAGGCACGAGACAAGTTTCAAGTGCAAGCGACAAGTGTTAGCTAGACAGTGACTATTCATATTCTGTAATCTGAACAGAATAACTTTTGAACGCGAGCTATAATTGGACTATGAAATCAAATGAACAGATAGCAAAATAATTTCTGCAGGCTTTGCATGTGCACTTAATTTCAAATTGATTTTGTATCTTTTTTTTTTCATATTTTATTTCAAATAATACTGTATTGTAATCTTAACTGTAGTTGTAAGTAAATTCTCTTGTGTGACTGTTGATAGTGTGTGATTGTTGATGATGTGTGATTTCCCATTTCCCTTCTCCTCTCTTTCTAACTTAGACCTTAACAATCTGTTCAATACATTTACTACTAACCCTGTTGACTACCGTAACTTACCTAACCAAATATCCCATGATGATCTTGTTTTCGATGACAGTGATGATATTATTAATGATATTGATCCCGACAGGAACTCTAATCTGTTTGATATTTGTAATAAATACTGGTTGCCAAATGATTTTAATGCAAACTCTGAGTTTCAACATGGCGATATGTTTAATTTGCTTCATTTTAATTCGCGTAGTTTGTATAAGAACTTTGATTCTTTACATGATTTTATTTGCCAATTAGACCAAACATTCTCTGTATATGGATTTAGTGAAACATGGATCCACAACAATACTCCAGTTTCATTATTCAATCTCAGTGGGTATACTTTTTATGCCTCCGTTACGAAGTAGCCGGAGGCATTATGTTTTCTGGTTGTCCGTCCGTCCGTCCGTACGTCCGTACGTCCCGTACGTCCCGTACGTCCGTCCGTCCGTACGTCCCGTTCTCGTGATCGCGTTATCTGAAGAACCGATTGATGGATTCCTGCCAAACTTTGGTCATGTATGTATCTTGCAGAGCCGATGAACTGATTAGATTTTGGGGTCACGAGGTCAAAGGTCAAAGGTCACAGGGCTCATTATGTATGCAAAAACAGCTTGTGATCGCGTTATCCAAAGAACCGATTGATGGATTCCTGCCAAACTTTGGTCATGTATGTATCTTGCAGAGCCGATGAACTGATTAGATTTTGGGGTCACGAGGTCAAAGGTCAAAGGTCACAGGGCTCATTATGTATGCAAAAACAGCTCGTGATCGCGTTATCCAAAGAACCGATTGATGGATTCCTGCCAAACTTTAATCATATATGTATCTTGCAGAGCCGATGAACTGAATAGATTTTGGGGTCACGAGGTCAAAGGTCAAAGGTCCCAGGGCTCATTATGTATGCAAAAATTGCTTGTGATCGCGTTATCTCAAGAACCGATTGAAGGATTCCTGCCAAACTTAGGTCATGTATGTTACTTGCGAAGCCGATGAACTGATTAGATTTTGGGGTCATGAGGTCAAGGTCAAAGGTCATGTGGCTCATTATGTATGCAAAAATAGCTTGTGATCGCATTATCATTAGAACAGATTGATGGATTCCTGCCAAACTTAGATCATGTACGCATCTTGCAGAGCCAATGAACTGAGTAGATTCTTTGGTCATGAGGTCAAAGGTCAAAGGTCATGGGCTCATTATGTATGCAAAAATAGCTTGTGAACACATTCTCATTAGAACTGACAGATGGATTACCATTTAACTTGGGACATCTTGCAGAGCCAATGAACTGAGTAGATGTTAGGGTCATGAGGTCAAAGATCAAAGGGTCATATATGTATATAAGAAATTGCTTGTAATCACAATATTCTGAGAACCTGTTAATGGATTACAATTGAACTTGAATTTGAAAAATTTCTTCTGTTTTGGTTTGTAAATTGCGGTAAAATGACGGAGGCATCATTTCGACTGCGCGCAGTCGAAGTTCCATCTAGTTTTCATAATGATAGGGAAAAATGTAGAGGCGGTGGTGTTGCAATGCTTGTGCAAAATTCTCTGAACGTGGTTGTAAGACAGGATTTATGTTTGTTAAATGCGATTTGTGAATCACTCTTTCTTGAAATTTATGTGCAAAACAAAAGAAATATTATCATTGCTGTTGTATATAGAGATCCCCATACTAATGTTGAAGAATTTAATTGTGAAATTGATGCTTGTTTACAGAAACTAGAAAAAGAAAATAAAGATGTCTACATTATGGGTGACTTTAATATTAACTTGCTGCATTGTTCTACTGTAAATCATGTCAATGACTTTGTAAATATTTTGTATAATAAATCATATCGTCCATTGATCGATAAGCCTACACGTATTTGTAAATCATCGACAACACTTATAGATAATATATTTACGAATGTCTGCAGTAAAGATATAAGTTCTGGTATATTTTATAACGATATAACAGACCACTTGCCAATTTTTTCTATTACTCAAAATAATCTCAAAGAAAATACTAATGCTAATAAATCTAGAAGATGTCTTACATGTAACTCTACTACTATTGATTCCATAGGAAAAGAATTAGTTAATCTTGATTGGTCTGATATTTTCCAGTTTGATAATGTTGAACTCGCATATGATTGTTTTTTTAATAAGTTTAATGATGTTGTTAGTAATAAATGCTCGAAAGGTAATCATAAAAAGAATTCTTCACCAAGAAAATCATGGATTACTTTTTCTTTATTAAGATGTATCAATAAAAAAAACAGGCTTTATAAAGAATTTTGTAAAACACGCAATGATACATCTCATAATAAATTTAAAAGGTACCGAAATATATTGAATCGTGAGTTGAAAACTGCTCGTGAAAAATACTATTATGACTTACTACAAGTTAATAAAAATAATCTTTCAAAAGTTTGGCAAATTATTAATGAGCTAATTGGGAAAAGTAAGCAAGATAAACTCCCAACTTTTTTTATGAAAAATGATGTTAAAATAGAAAATGATGATATTGCTGAAGAATTCAATAATTATTTTTCAAACATTGCTTCTCTTGCTCAATCTAAGTTAAATCAATCACCGAAAACTCACTTTAGTTCTTATCTTAGCCATTCTTGTAATAAATCGATTTATTTGTACCCAACATGTGAAACAGAAATAATTAATGTTGTTAAAAAAATGAAAAATTCTAAGAGTGCAGGGTTTGATGACATTAACATGCATCTTATTAAGAAAGTCATTCATTCAATTGCTGTTCCCTTGGTTCATATTGTTAATTTATCTATGTGCACGGGCTCTGTCCCAAATAAAATGAAAATTGGTAGAATAGTTCCAGTGTATAAAAAAGGTGATAGACATTTATTTTCTAACTATAGACCCATTACCTTATTACCCTGCTTCTCAAAGATCTTAGAGAAAATCATGTATAACCGTATAGCTAATTATATAAATAAGAACACTTTATTAACTAATGCCCAATATGGTTTCAGATCAAATCATTCTTGTGAACATGCACTGATTGATCTACATGATGTACTATTAAATAATATTCATAATAATTTTCATTCACTTGGCATTTTCCTTGACCTATCAAAGGCATTCGATCTGATTGACCATAATATTCTTTTGTATAAGTTACCGTATTTTGGCATTCGTGGTGTCGCCTTAGACTGGTTTGATAGTTATTTACAGAATAGGTCCCAATATACAAGGTATAATAATTTTGATTCATCTCTTTCCAAGGTTGAATGCGGAATTCCGCAGGGATCCATACTCGGTCCCTTGTTATTTTTGCTGTACATTAATGATTTGTGTAATGTTACTTCATTTTTTCATTTTGTTTTATTTGCTGATGATACCAATATCATTTCCTCACATAAAGACTTTAATACGCTCCTACATAAGACTAACGAAGAGTTAGGCAAAATAGTTGACTGGTTTGATTCCAATAAGTTAGTAATTAATCATGACAAAACATGTATTTTGTATTTCTCTAAACCTAATATTAAGTTTCCTCCTCATACAATCAAAGTGAAAATTAATGATATATACTTGAATGTTTCTGACTCCGTGAAATTTCTTGGAGTTTTATTGGACAATCAACTTACTTTTCAAAACCATCGTATGTACATACTAAAAAAGATATCTAAAAATATCGGAATTATTTGTAAATTGCGTTCTATTTTACCCAAAAAACATTTATTAATGCTATATAATTCACTTATACTTCCTTTTATCCATTATTGTAACATTACCTGGGCCAACGTTGGGAAAAGCAAATTAGAACCATTTCATAAACTGCAGAAAAAAGCCTTACGCATTTGTACAAAGTCACCTTATTTAGCGCCATCTCGCCCCCTCTTTTTTTAATTAAAAACACTTAATATTTATCATATATATGAATTTAAAGTCGCAGTACTGATGTATTATGTCAAGCATAAAATGGCCCCAGCCAATATAATTAATTTGTTTAACTTTAATAATGATTTTCATCAATATTACACACGTTCAGCTTCCCAATTTCACCTTCCATTAACTTCTAATAAGCAAATGTATAATTCTTTTAAACATGTAGGACCGAAGATTTTTAATAATTTAAATACAATCATTCGTCCATGTTCAACAGCCTCCTCCTTCAAAGCCTTACTTAAAAGTCACTTTATTCATAAATATACTTCTTGATTTCCATATATCTTTTTCATAAGTTTACCTCATATATGTACACTGTACATGTAATCTCTCTTTCTCCTTCCCTTCTCTTGGGTGAGTGTGTGTGTTTGTGTGTGTGTGTTGGATGTGTCTGCTTGTGATTATTATTAATGTTTTACTTATAATTTGTTAATTTTGTCAAAGGGGCACCAGTCCACAAGATCCTGATCTTTTTTGGCTGCCCCTAACGATATGTTAATTTTACACATGTATATGATTATGTCAATATGTTTTATTGCATTGTACTATTTTCTTTTATATCGTTGAATAAAGATGAATTGAATTGAAAAAATTGAATTGAGTGCAAAAATTGACTTGCACCAAAGCAATGTGCCCACAGCATGTATTATGTTGGGATTAGCGGAATAAGAATGAATTGAATGTATCAAATGAAATGCAAATGCATATGCTTTTTGCAGAGGCAAAGTCACACATGCACACACACACACGCCCACAAATGTTCATTGATATGTGTGGCATGATTAATTTGGTTAGGGATGTTATTTAGATCGGCAAAAACCGATTTAATACCCAAATCCAAATTGTCTTATTTAAACATCAGATAAGCAACTTTGGCGCAAGTCGATTTTTGCACTCTCGCAAACAATGCCTCCTGTTCATTCAAGCGTGAACACATACCACACAAAAATGAAACCAAATGATTTGGGATAAAACACTCTTTCATAAGATGTATAATAATTTACTGCTCATAGATGATTTTAAAAATAATTAGCAACTTTCTAGGTGTAAACTTTTTTTTTACTCACACTGTAGAGAAACAATTTTGATAAGTTGAAGAAAAAATATCCCCCAAATAGCAACCCCAAATCTTTCAACTGACTGTTGATAGATCATAGCTTGATTATTCTCTCACATATATAAAGTGATCGCTCTCCCTCTGATGAATATAGACTTAAGAGGGCAGTATGCCATCTTGTAGTCCTTGACTATGGATGAATATCACCAAAGTTACCTAAGCACCAGGATAACATCCTGGTGCTTAGGGCTAGCCAAACTTATGTTAGATATACTCTGGGGTATCATTGATTTTAACATGCATATTAGTTATCAAATTTTGATGATGGTATTTCCAAAATCAGGTACAGGTAAAAGCTTAGTCTGTGTTTGTTCCTCACAGTAGAATATTTGTGCATTTATTTAACAGATACATGTATAATCAAATATTTATTTTTGTGTGTGTTTATAAAGAGTAAATCCAACACTGGTAGTGGAGGCAAGAAGATAACGTATGGCTGCAGTGAAGTGCTTAATTCAGCGCAATTTATGAAACAGGTATAGTATACTATTCCTAATACTGTATCTTTAATGATACACTCTCATCTCATTGCTACCTCCAGTCAAGGATAAATTTAAAGTGAGGAGAAGATGGATAAGTTTTCTAAAAATGTAGAACTTCATAAACAGATTAATTGGCCATGATCAAAGAACCTAAACTAACATCGTAATTTCTTTCTAATGTAAGGATTTTAGGCAAGAGAATGGTATATTGTCTCTCTTCGTAGAAACTGTTTTCTTACATCTCTTACTAATTCAGTAAAAACCCAACCCTTGGTCTAAAATCACACTTTGACCTTGGGCTAACTTCCTTTGTGACACCCTGATTTTCAACACTGAAAAGCTTAAACCCAGTGTGTGTTGCACTTTCCTTTTTATCTTATACCATATTCTTTTCTTATCACTCAGTTTTGAGGAAGTGTAATTGATATGTTTTTCTGTATATTCTACCCTCCTTTTTTTCTTCTCCAGATCACCCTTCTTGGGGAGGAGCATTGAAATAGATGTCTGCCTTCAAAGCTTCACTAATTCAGATTATTTAATGAAGATACTACAGACATGGACATATTTATCAAAACTTTGATGCATTCATTCACATATTAGATAACTTTACAAAGACATAGCTCAGTGTCTTACTAATTTTCAGCATTAGATATGATACAACTCGATCACTTCTAGATCCCAATCAAATGATTGGTCAAACGCTGTTATGTGTGATTCACTTACTGAGATAAACTTGGGGTTTATTTGTCAGCAATTCTGACACAAAACTATCTTGAAATGGATTCATTTTACAACAAATAACAAGGATCTAGGAGTTTCGTTGTATAATACAAATGATGCATGTATTCATTCATTCGTTCATGACAGGATCTATCTGTTCCTGTTGAGGCTGTATGCACCTATTGTATTAAGCCGTATGAAGCCACTTACATGTACTCTGGTTTATAATTTTAATTTCTTTGAATCCAGATTATGACTTTTATGCTAGCCAACAAAGCTGAAGGTGCAATTATCATACCGCCTTTTATAGAAGTAATGCTTTACATCAAATGAGTTATGATATCTATAATGTATTTATATTCTTGTATTTTAAGAAATCAACCACATTTGTGTATGTTTCTTTTTTTGTGTTGTTTAATTTTTAATGATTGCTGAAATCATAGGTATAGCTCAGTATTTATTAATATAGAAGTTTTCATATTCATTTATTGATACTGGACATTGTTGAACTGAATCAATCCAATGTTCCTTATAAAGATTTAAAACAGAGCAGATGGAAGAAATCTTCACCAAAATGAATAATTTATGAAATTAAGATCCCCCTGAGTATCTGTGGTTGTCACATGTACAAAGCAAAAACAATGCTATTTTGACATAAAATGCAATCAACGTTTTACATACTTTCCAAGGCTTTCTAAAGTTTCATTTTCATATGATAATGTTGGTATTTAAAACTTTAATCACATTCCATTAACAGGATCACAAAGACTTTCAAGAAATCAATTCAATATCCTTTGACATTACCTATAGAAAACTTTCAAATGCTGATACTCAAGACTATTGAAATTGCCATTGTTTGATTTTTAGAAGTCTTTGTGATCCTTTTCTTAATAGTAAAACTTTAATAAAAGTGTGTAAATGAATGTTTAACCATGTGAGGAAACTAGTGCTGTTCTACCACGCAATAATAATAGGACATTACATTGAAAAGCCATCACTGTATTCCACCATAATTTTCCCAATTTGCTTTTCATTATTCATGATTTTATTAGGCAGCCTCCATCTTGACAATTTTATCCAAAGGGAAAACTTATGATTGTTTTACAAGTTTATGTCAGTAGATAAACGTACTGTATAGCAACATTATGTTAAGTTGACAGGACCACCTTCTGTCAACTTGTCACTCTGTCATTCACAGCTTTTGATGTTTGGGTTAGAGAGAGAGGGGGAGAGAGAGAGAGAGAGAGAAAGAGAGAGAGAAAGAGAGAGAGGGGGGGGGGGGAGATGTGACTGCACCAGAGAGAAAGGATTAGTGATAATAATGATATTGTCGTTATTGTATTAATGTTCTTTTGTAGTGGATAAATCTCTGGACTGTAAACACAATATACAATAATCATATTGATAATTGATATAATAATGATGATAATAAACCATTCTTGTATAGCGCATAACACATTACATAAGTATGTCCCTATTCACTTGGGAAGAAAAGAAAAGCAAGGAGGAAAAAAAAATTGTAGGAATTACCATATCTAAGCAATTGCCACTGGAGCATGTGTTGTATAAATGCTGGGTTATATACAAAATAGTGTACCCATATGGTCTGGAATTTTAACTTGCTATGTAAAGTATGTGAAATAAACTGTGTGATAGTGCTGACCATTGAACTACATGTACTTCTCTCTGTCAATGATCACTGTAGCTACATAAGAACGCCACTAAATAACAAAACATGTGGTAGATTTCAAAACAAGTAGTGAAGTCTGTCCAATGTGCATCATGTTTTACTATTCTTTGCTGTATATTGCTACTAATCCTATGTGAATAAGATTTATGTGTGAAATCGATAGACAATGTGTCAGTTGTATTTCTTAACAGTACACAATAATTAAGAATTGATACTTGCCATTTTGATGATATGAAGGGTGCGAGATCCAGGATTTTGTATAAAAAAAATAGGAAGGAGGTACAATGCTTTATCAAAATATGACAAGCAAAAAGAAACTTAAAAAGTGTGCAGCACATTTACACATTTTCCAGTGTTATTTGACAAGCAAAATAAAGTTGTTTTGGAGTACCTAAGTCCTTTCAAAGGGGGTCAGTGTACGGGCATGCATCAAGGAATGAGTGTGTCAGGAAGATGGATAACTGGACTATGAATCAGAAAGGAGAGAGTGAGAGATACAGTAACTAATCAGAAAATAATGGGACCAAGATTCAAGACCTGTGAAGGACCTTTATGTCGAAGCAGAACATTACAACTTGTCATATCATTATACAATGCATTCCAGAAACATGCCCGCCGGGTTATCGCGACAAAGCTGTATGTGCTGTAAGACTGTATTGATCGATCTACAGTCAAACCTGCTGTAGTGACCGCCTGTCTTCAAAGACCACATTTTGTGTTTCCCTTGAAAATGGTTTCTCATTGAAACAAGTACTAAAGGAACCTGTCTATAAAGACAACTGTTTGTGTTTCCATGAAGTTCTTATTAGAACTTTTTTTTCAAATGGTACCTTGATGGCATTCATGTATACATACCCGAGGACCATTCTTCAGTGGGAAAATGACATGTAAACATTTATTTCTGCCAGATATATGGTACAGCCTTGGAAACTGTTAGGATCACAGGCGAATACGACCTGAAAGAAACACCCCAATATCTAGCCACTTTTGGAATATAATTTAGTTAGGACAAGCCATAATGTTTGTCTTCCTGTATCACATTTATTGAAAGAAATCCTGAGATATATTCTTTGATTCGGGCTGGAAAAAGACTTAGGAAGAGACGGCAGAAACAAAATCAGTTACACCAAAACTAAAGAAGAAATAAAATCGCGAAAAAGCAACAACATCTAATTCTTTATCACAAATGGAGACAACAAATTAGTTGGAGTTCGGGGTCGTCCCCCCCCCCCCCCCCCAGCAATTACTGCTGGCCTACTATACTAATACTCCGCATCAAAATGACATTACTAATCAGATTAAATTGGGGAATCGGAGGGAAATAAGAACAACAATACAATCGCATACTAGTTAACTTGACATGATTCAAGATGGAACATATGATTTTTCCTAACCACACAATCAATCAAACTGGAGTTCCCGAACCTTAACTTTATGGCGAGCTACAAAGTTCAGCAAATAAAATATTGGGGTGTCTGCGGAAGAAGGCGCCTTACGATCTTATGAAAGTTCAAAGTTCACACAAGTCATCTTTTTTTTCATCAAGAACATAATAAAGTTATTTCCCTAAACGTAAGAAATTTATTTAAAAATCCATATGACAAATATTCAAAAGGAAGTTGCATCAATATATACTAACTATAATGGCAATCATAAGGACAAAAAGGTTATGACGGATTGGTTTGGAAAATCATACCAGCTAGCAGCTAGGCTGTAATTTACGCATATTATAAGGTATAAGTGAAATATTGACATACTACTATATAGAGAAGCAGGCGTAGTCTATTAAAAAGACATAGGCCTACTCGGAGGACTCAACTGGAAGAAGAATTAAGATCGAAGACAACTTGTCGCTTATTTTTGATGAATGTTTAGAAAACTACATGGGGTATGGACTATGTTGCGTGTTAACTAGTAATCCCACATAATTCCCTTTTTTAATTAAACTACTAAAAAGCAGTATCCCTCCAGACAAGAAAACACTTAATAAATGATCACATCCAGACAAATTGATTATGGTTAAAAACTGGTTCTATATTCTATAATTTCACATAAGATACAATGATTACAGAATTATCAGAAACCTCTTCTGTCTATCTCAACAGTGACAGACAATTAAACTATCACTAGGCCCTTGGTAGTTACTATTAATAATCAAACATAGATAACTTCCAACAGCACATTAATGTAAAGGAGACTCAACTTAGTCACTATGGTATTAATGATTACCGCTGAATACAAGTCTCGAAATATCAGGAGTCTAGCTGTTCAGTACAACTTAAAACAGTACTAAAACAAGTCAGTTAAATATCATTCACACTGCATGAATAATAACAGTCAAGAAAATACTACTCAAATCTAAGCTAGACAGCGTTTAGATTTACTTACATAGGCACGAAATATTGTGGTTCAAGAAACCGCTAAACAAATCTCTACTTGTGTATGTGTACGGAATATGCACAACACGAGAATACAACAATATATCGGTGGATCTAGACTATAGCAGATCTAGATCAGTAGACTAGGCATAGGCCTAGAACTAGTGCAATTATAAACATGTAAAATATGTGTTAGTAAGCGTACGCACTCAACAACAGGCACTCAGTCAGTCAAAACACAATGATAAACAATGCAAAGCATCAATCACAATATAATTAACGTTACGTGAGTCATTGGAGTTGAATTCAGAGTAGATCTTCTTCAAGTTCTAGATAGATGTAGAAACTAGCTAGTCGAAAACGGTGGTCGATGAGCTGGTTGTCGATTGCGTAGAAAATGCAGACGATGATCGACGCTAGATGAACGATAACGATGATGCATGAAGACGATGACTACGTCTACGGTGATGAAGACAATGATGGTGCAGATGATGATGAAGACAACGATGATGAAGACAACGATGATGAAGACAACGATGATGAAGACAACGATGATGAAGACAACGCTGATGAAGACAACGATGATGAAGACAACGCTGGTGAAGGCGATGATGTCGATGATGATGATGAGACAGTCAATCGAATACAATAATGATGCAGTCGAGGTCAATAGATCAACTTGCGATGCAGGTCGAAGAATCAAAATGTCAAGACAATATATATCATATGAAGTCGATGATAAAAGGTTGTCAAACAATAATGCAGGTGAGAAAAGCTTTAGATCATATTAAATGTTCTATTCTCACTGCTGGTGAATTAAAGTGTCGTCAATGCTGAACATCGAGAGAGTCAAAATATATCTTGCAAAACGTACAAAATGTAAATAGGTGAGCACGTCCACCGGGAATGGTCCGGGGACGTAGCAGTTCAATCCTCGTTGGATACAATTTTCTAGGTACAAATATCAACACAATAACAGCATGTGTGTATACCAATATTAAAACAGCTCACTGATTCCCGCACAGGAAAATCAGAAGAGCGCCAATCAACTACAGCGCGATTGGTTCAAAACAAGCGCACATGTATGTTAATAAGGCACGTGATCTAAATACTTATGAATAAATACGCGTACATCTATGTTAATTGGTCATGTGATCAAAATACTAATGAATAAACATCGTTATATAATAAATCGAGTTAAAACCAGTTCTGAGGACATGGCGTAATACCAAATCCTCGAACTCTCAATGACTTCTAAAGCGGCCATTTTGGATTAAAAACACAATATGTATACCAGTGAATTATAAATGAATGCACTGTAACATTTGTCGCTACATTAACCCCCCTACTAGACCCGAGCTTGCGTAAGCTCCGAGGGGCGAAAATACACAATTAAAAATATAAAGGAAACATATGTACAAAATACATTAATATACATGAAAATAACCACTATTTATGCGACACGTTCAATGTAGTGAACCTGAACGTACCTCTGCGGCCAGTGGACGTGGCGGCCTGAACGTGTGACACGCGCAGCAGGTCGCGATTTCACCAGAGCAGGAGCAGGCGTAGGAGCAGGTGCAGGAGCAGGCGCAGAGGTTGCGCGAAGTGC